ACATCGCCTGTATGCTTTGAGACTGTGTCTCTAGCTGACCATGAAACTGGGTCGACTGCTGATGGATTTGGGTTTGGACAAGTGCAAATTGTTGGCTGCTCTGTGCAGAAAACTCTGTGAACTGATTCTCCAGAGACTGGTTCTTCTGCATCAGTTGATGAACTTGTCCCTCCAATGTCGAAAGCCGTGCAGGAACATCCTCATCCATATTCGACGGAATTTTCGCCAAAACGGCTGTTTGGATTCGCTCTTTCAGCTGTTGAATCCCATCATTGGTTAAAGTGGCCGAGGCAGCTGGCTTCGCTTTGGTATAGGCACCCCAGGGATCGGCATGAACCCATGGGTCAGTCTCGTTGGTTGAGGCAGCAGTTGTGTGGGCACACAAGGACAAAGTATTCACCGATCCTACCGTCGCCCCAGAAAGCTGCTTCAATGGGGTTGTGGCAGTCTTGTGCTTTGTGATCACTACTTCACCATGAGTGGTGGTCAGAATTGTCTCTGGTGGCGCTTCCACACTCTGAAGAAGCCACATGGAACCTTTGCCTGGCACAGGCTGCATGGGTTGGAGCGCCTGTATCTGCCATCCAAACTGCTTCAGGGCACGTGTGATTGCTGCCCGATCGATGCCCCATGGGAAAGGACCCGCCACATACTGAACCTTGGGACCACTCGGCAGGAAAGTCGTGTCTGGCCTCACAATGTCATTGATCGCCTGAGCCTGGGAATGCAAAACTCTCACTCCTCTGCGTTCACCCAACCTTGCAATGCCAATGACCGCCGGGTTGGTCTGACGTAAGTGGGCAAGTTCACTGCTGGACATCCTCGGCGCCCAGATCACAACATACTCTTCCAAAACCTGCTTTCCGTCAGGGGTTCTCGGTTCAAGATAGGCACCTGACTGACCGCTTCTGGCAAGCAAGTGATGCAAAATGGCTCTCGGGATTCGTATGCAGACTGAAAACACCTCAGACTTGGCTGGTGGGGACGATCGGAAATTCAATGTGAGGAACTGTCGCCTCCACACATCCATGATTGGCTCCTTCACTGGCAAATCTTCAACGTTGTGCCATCCCTCGCATTTGCAGTTGTCCTCATGACACCTCCTCAGCGTAGGGAAGATATTGACAATCTGTTTGATTGGTGCCTGGGTGAAATCATCCCAGGAACCTGCAAATTCATCACGATATGCCAAAATTTTAACCGTCACAACATCAAGTGGGTCCAAAGCAATGGCGGTGGTGTTGACATGCTTTTCAACAAATCCGACTCCCAACTGCACAAGTGTGGCCTCTACCAACAGTGGTTCCGAATTGACTGAGCAAATACAGGGCACCATAAGCTTGGTATGGGGCAGCGCCGTTTGAATGTCAACATGTGGTTCGCTGAGGACAGCAATCGCAAGTGGTCCATTGGAAACAGGTCTGCCATTCTTTAAATACGGAAGGGCATCATGGTACGAGATCATGGCAACTCCGGCAGCCACTGGGCCAATTTGTTGAGCTGCAATTTGTGGCACAGGCTGGCCAGCAACACGAAAAGCACCCTCAAGCAAAGCAAGTTTCGCCGGGTCCAAAACTTCAGGCACCACAGGTTTGGATTTCAGCATTCCACCTCGGGGCTTTTTCCCTACTGGAGCACCTTTGTTCGACTCAACCACAGCTGCCAGTTCTTCCGGCAAAATGAACTGAAAACGGACATTGTTAGCAATGGTCTTAAGAGATCGCCAAACATTCTTTGCCTTAAGAGCATTCTGTAAGGGCTCAGAGCCAATGGCACGGATAGCTTGCTGAGATCTCTGTTCCAAAAGCCCATCCGGAACCCCATGCTTGGCCAATTCATCTGAAAGGGCTTTCACCAATGCAGTGGATGGTCCAGAACCCCAGGCCACCGGACAGCGGCATGCTTCATCCAGGTAAACTGCTTGCACAAAGCCAGCTTTCATGTTTGAATGCATGTACCTCAATGCCAGTAAGTCCTCAGGGAGGTCAGCTCCCACGATCAAATGGCCCAAAAAAGCAATTGCTGCAGCACCACACATGTCATGTGCAGGCACCCTTTGCGGAGTCCAATGGAAAACCACTTCATTAAATCCGAAATGAGAACGCAATACCTCCATGAAAGGTTCCAACTTGGCAGTTTCAGTAATGCCATCATGCAGCAAATGAACAACCAAAGTTTTCCCATGTGGGGCAACCCAAATTGGTACCCAATGTCTGTCAACAAGCAGTGCTGCAACAACATGGTGGCCATTGTCAGCGATCTGCGGATGGACCCGGCACCAGGATTCAAAAAGGCCCTTGCCAACAGTATCCCATGTGTGGAGAATCAATGGATCAACCGTCTCAAAACCAGGAATAACAGGACTCCTTTGTCGTGTCACATTGTCAGCATGTGCAAGCATGTTTTGGATATGAAACCGGATTTCATCATCTCCCCACTCTTTGTCATGGTATCTCAGCAGGGCCATACGGGCCTCTTTGGAGATGCACGTGTGAGAGAGACCGATTGCTGGCTGGGGCGGAGCATCAGGCAAACCCTCAGTGGTTGGTGGCATGTGAGCATGATCGCCCTTGCCCCAAATCCATGGTCGAAAGGCCATTTGACAGTTTTCAATTGCTGCTCGAAACTCACTCCGCATCCGCTGATGAATGATCTCAGCCTCATCATTGGTGGTCGGCAACATGGTGTGGCATACAGCATATGAGACAAAAGCCATGGCAAGAGCTCCACATTTGTCTGATGAGAAGAACAACCTGTGGTGCCGTTCAAATGATACCCCCAAAAAACCCAAAGCATGCGCAAGATGCTCACACATCATGTTGAGTCTCGAGTGATCACTGCCTGGAGTGTCCCAGGTACACACGTGCAAGTTGTCAGCTTGGGGTGTCATAATGACCGGGATCCAGTGTTGATCAATCATACATACAGTGACAACAGTCATGGCATGCAACTTGATTTCAGGATGTTGCAATCCCCACATGGAGCAAGCTTGGGTTCCATGGTGGACCCATCCGGTTGAGAGCAAAGGATCCAGGAGAAAATGTTTCAATGGCTGGCTTTCCTCATGTTGTGTGCGCACCCCTTCAACTGAATTGAGAATCAATGTCAAATGGTGACGGAATTCATCATCACTCCATGTTCCTGCCTGTGCATTAAGGAGTTGGATACGATCTTCCGGTTGAATGACTTGCTGTCTCAACGCCCAAACATGTTGGTCATGCACTACCACAGGCACCTGGAGCTTCAACAGTTGGTCAGCATCAAGACCCAACAGGGGAGCAGCAGAAATCCATGAAAAATTGAGTGCTTGCCTGTGGGCATCTGGACTGGCAAGATTCATCCCATCATTTCTTGATTCAATGGACGTCAAATCAACCTGTGTGGCCTGCACTTCACAGATTGGTTGGGACCACTCTACTGTCGGAGAGATGGTCGGAGCAACATTTGCATCATCACTGAGACCAGGATGTTTGACACCCTCGTCATTTCGCACCTCAACACGCTGAGATTGGATTTCTTCAGTGGCAGGGGAATCCTCACATCGAATGCAAATGACTTGACCTGCTTCAATGACATGCCGGGGTGACAACTCAACAACATATTGGTTGACGATGGTTGTGATTTGCAAGTCACCTACCAGTTTGGCTTGAGCTCGGACTAACTCATGAATCATACCCCCTGGAGAGACCGTGAGGGTGATTGGATCAGCAAACTCGTGAAAGAAGACCACCCTACACACACCTTCAACAGGACTTGGCAAGTTCGGTCCATGTTCACTGGGTTGTTCAAACCATGGTGTGGGAGCCTCATCATTCCGTTCACAAGAATCATCAATACACATGTCATCCGATCCCGACACATCATGCATTGGAGTGTGATTACCTTGTTGTTCTCTAATGATCAGGTCAAGGATCGACGCAATGGTGATTTCATGTTCGCCCAGCTGAGGCCATCGAGCTGGATGCATGAGTTCATGAATGGAGAACTGAGAGTATTTCGTCCAAAACCTGATGAGAGAAGCCATCTTTTCATCACAAATGGGCTCAGTCACACAGGGCCACACCTGTCTGCATCTCATCAAAACCCACGCCTGGTACGCCTGTAACTGTGCAAATGGTGTGAAAGGTACACTTCCAAACCTCAGTTGAGACAGCCTACTGGCCAGGCATGCGAAAATCCACAATGCTTGAAGGGGGCTCGCCATTTGCCCTGCAGCAGCCAAGGTGAGTCGCGGGTTACTCCCAAAATCAATAATGGGGTCAAATCCCAGAAGTGCAAGACATTCATTTGGATGGATGTGTCGGATTTCTTGGTAACAGCAATCGGCAGTTGACCTCACCAGCAATCCAAACAAACCTTTCTCCTCAAGCCTCTTCCAAGAAAGCCCTGATGCACGGCATCCACATTCACAAGCCACAAGTTGAGATCCCCATGAATGTAATGCGCAGGGGGCGCAACCCTCATGATTCAGCAGGTATCTTGCAAAATTGTTGTCATCAACTCCAAATGCATTTCTTTCAATCGCTTGAAGCAACAACTTTTGTTCCAAACCACCAACCAGATATATATATATATATATATGCCTTGTCTATGGGAGAAATGGGGGGGATAGCCCGATGAAGTGCCGCTTTATTTATTGCGGACAGCAGGGGAAGCTAATTTTAGTTTGGCTTTTTCTTGGGGTGTTCTATTTCAATTTTGGACGGGGCTACTCAAGCTGGAGAAAATGAGCAAAATGGTGCAACCTTGGCAACCATGGGATGGAACGAGTTTCCGGCATCCGACTAAAAGGGACTAAAAATCCACATTGGATGACCCTCCATCCATAAGGATCAAACCACAACAAAACAGGACAATCATGTACGATTTATATAAATCAAAACCAATCGGAATAAAGAAGTAAACTAAATGTTCGTCTCAAAAATCATCCTCATGTTTGAGGTGTTTCCATCAGGTTTGATCTATACTCCACTTCTTCCCCATCGGTTGGCCAAAGTGGCCAGGGGGTCACGGGTGAACAAATGCGAGATGTGCTGGCAGATCGCTTCGTCCAAACCTTCCTGGCGCAACATGGCCTCAGTGTGGGCGATGATTGGCAAAGGAGATTTTGAACATTTTTTTATTGAGATTGTTGCTTCCTGTTACTGCATGTTGTTTCAATGTGTATGCATTTATTTATTTATTTATTTGATATTATCTAATGGTAAAGCAAACAGCACCGAATGCAACTTATTTATGTTTCTATTGGCAAGCCATGTTGGCTCTACTTGCTGACACCATCTTGTTTAGGACAACTTTTATTTTTTTCCGTCACTTGCCGCCGATGCCAGCCGTTTGTCACTGGTCTCCCCAAAATGGGACACTAGCAGGGGGATGTATGGTTTCAACAAACTATATATTAAGATGAGATAGATGCCACTCCATGTTTGCAGTTTCCATCGTTTCTGTGCTTGGCTTTATGTTTTGTTGTTTTATACTTTGGTGGTGAGATAGACAAACAGTCCAAGAAGGCCTAGTTGTTGGGTGGTACTCATATATACCGGCAAATGCTAGCAGCCACAACCTCGAAAAAAGACCTGCTGCCGTGGAACTCGCACTTCTTCATCGGTCTCGCAATGGATATCATTGTGACTCTGGGAAGTTGGATGGATGTAGCAAGAGATGGAGTCGTACCGGCTCTTGTTCTGCCTCAAAGGCCCCTGTTTTTTGTCGATATCACAAGCATGCGATCATAGGGTGTTCCAACGTGTTTTGCTTCACATTGAGGACCAATGACCATCTAAATTTGCTCAAAACTTGGAGCGGTCCAATATCAGGTATTTTCCACGTAACCAACTTATGTGGTAATGTTCCGCATTGCTATTCAAAGAGATTCGCAAAAATCATTTTTGGCCCATTACCTAAGTGGCAAACAACAAAAACAGTGAAAAATAACAGTGAAAAAATAATAGCATCATATAGCAACAACAAACCAAAGGGAAACTTAACAGTGAAAAAAACATCACATTAGACCAGCAGGCGCCGGTGTTGTTTCTGGCTGGCACTGGCTCCACATCACCGATTCAGAATCCATGCCACTTCTGTATTCCGAACACATTCCAAGTTACAACTGTAGCCAGTCATTAGCCAGTCAAAAAATGTCATATTCATATATACATACATAAAACATATATATATACAATTATACATATATACAATTATACATAATATAAATATATATATATATATATATAATACATATTGCCTGCTATGGTTCAACCGCGGGTGGCTTAAAATAATCATCACTTCTCGCGACCGAAAAATCACAACAGGGCATCCCCTTGCGTTGAAGTTCACCATCACTTATTGGTTGGGTCAATCTGGGTTAATACATATCAATGGTATATGAATGGGATATGCATGGGATATGATATATTTATTAATGATTAATGTGGTCAAAACAATGTCATTAACCGTCCCTCTCTTTTAATGGTTAAAAAAAAACCTATGGTGATGACCGGATGGTTGATGATTATTTTAACCACATAACACTTATCCACCTGAAAGTACACTCTGGTAAACTAACATCGCTATGGAAAATCCACCATTTTTAATGGGTAAATCCACAATAAATGGCCATTTTCAATAGCTATGTTAGCTTACCAGAGGGTATGTTCCACCCATCCCGGGATGCCAAGATACCGGCGCACCCCCTCACCTGCCATCCTGGCATCGCCTGCATGACCATCACCCCGCTCCGCCGCCGTGCGGTCGTCCACGGATTGGCTGATGACCTGAGGTGCCCTCAGAGATCCCACATTTTTGATGGGCGAACAACCCACCATTAACCCTCATCATTGTTGTTTTAATCCCATCTTAATCCAAGTTAAACTCCCACATGACCATGTATACATACATATACATACCATATACATACCATATATATATTTAGATATGTATATAAAATATAATAATATTTTGATCTAAACCGATATTTTTATATATATATGTATATACATCTATAATGGGTACGTAATGGTACATATGGATATATAGTTTCAGGGGTCGCATCCAAGACACGTTCCAGCGTGCATCAGTGGCCGCCAGGCGACCTTTCAACACGGGAGTGGCCTGAAGGCCAAGGCGGCCAAGCCAGGGCCCAGGGGTGGTGATTAAAAGCCATCCCACCAGAAACTTGGAGAAATTGTGACAAATTGTATTTAGTAATAGACGCCAATTATGAAATATTAAAATTGGTGGTTTCACAATTAAATTATCATCCCATGATCTTCAATATTAATTAATCACATAAGTGTGCTATAACACCAATTTAGTTAAAAAAAACACAGTTTTGGATAAAACATTCAACATACAGATTTTGTTATACTCATTTAATTCTGATAAAATCAAGACATACAACACACCAACTAATATTGTGATACCCATATCATATACAGCAATTAATAATGTGAAAATACCCATACATACCCTCAGGAAAAATAAGCTAATGCGATGGATTTTATCACCATTGTAACAAGAGGCAAATAAAATCATTCAAATCATCTAATTCTTTTGGTGATGTTCTATGGCTATGTCAAATAACCACGGGGTACCTATACTTGGTTGTTTTTTTTTGGTAAGTGCCGGTGAAGATTCCACATGGAGCAAACGGGATATGTATCTATGCAATACAAGTTCTTACCCAGTATATGTATATATGCGTACGTACATGTATGTAACGTACTTACGCGTGCACGTACACACGCACACATATATATATACATATATTTACATATATATATATATACATATATATATATATACACTATATACACAATGATATAAATATAATTAAATATATAGATATATACATATGTATATATATATATATGCATTGTAAATATTGCAATATATATATATATATGTATATACTGATATATCCATATAACCCTAAATAGGCATGACATTCGATAATATCCAGTAGTATCTATTACAAGCCAATCCCCAAGACCTAACCTTTTCGTCTCTCTCTACGATAAACAAACATGTAACACGTTGTTTCTTCACGATTCACATTTCCATGTACACAAAATAAGAGAGTCCGGGACCCTGATGCTGGGAGCTGCATGGGTCAGAGCCGCCAAGTGGCCTTTCACCTTATGGATGAACCAGCCATTTAAGTTCACCAAACTACCACCTTGTTGTATATATGTATATATGTTAATGTGTATTTGTTCAATTAATTATTTTAGGAAATATGTCTATGTGATACGCCAAGTGGCCGCAGTCATGGCCATCATAATGGGAGCCAGCACGGCCAGCTGGTCGTACAAGTATCCTCGAAAAAAAGGGGCAAGCTCTGGCGCCCTTCTCAGCTTAGCCTGACAAGATGGGACCTATATAGGAAAGTTCGTTGAGAACAAGGCCAGCTATCAGATCTATATGATGGATATTTAACAGTTTGCTATGGAACATGGCCCATTTACAGATGATTTTCCCAGCTATAAACTTCCATTTATATTGGATTTTCCAGTTCGCTATGCTAAATAACCAAATGGTATATGATGGATATATCTACAGTTGAATGGGTATATGATGATAATATTATGATAATATGATGATATAATATATATGCCTCCTGTATCCAAAAATTACCCGTTGGAAGCGGCTGTCACTGCCACATGACTGTTGAGTGTTTCTTGTCAAAGCCCAGCAAAGAGATCCAACAAGCACTAAGTACGATTGTCATCTCAAACACACGGCTCAATCAAGACCATTCAAATATTAACTCTCAAACATGGGCCAAACTTCATGACTTCAAATTAAAGGTGCGCGTTTTTTCAAATATACAGTCTTATTTACACCTTCACAATTAACACATGAGTCGAACTTGATCAAACATAAACTCACCTCAACATGTTGCGTGCGCATCCGTAGCATCACAGGCCTGCAGCACTGTCCTGCCCAGTACGCAGCTACCTTTTGCTGCACTCTCCAAGTCAAAGTTCATGGTGGCAGTGGCTCAATGGCTGAAGGTTCATTAGGACTATACAACAACCCTGAGAGACTGCCAAGCCGCGAGCAAAAATATAAAACACTTCCTGGGCAGCTAGAACTGGGATTCGAATTTGCTGTTTAGCGGAATCACAACCCCCCTTTCATAGCATCTGCAGCATCAGCCCTTAATTATTTGGGACCCAAGAATAATCAATAATGTGGTTAAAACAATTGTAAACCACCCATTTGGGAATGGTTTATACCACCTATTTATGGTGATTTGGGGGATAGTTTATTATTGTTTTACCAACATTAGATTCAATCTCTAACCCCATCTTTCACTGGTAGCGAGTCACCTTCAATGGCAGAGTCCAGTCAATGCTCAGTCATGCAACAAGGGCCGCCCAAGGCACAAATTCAAACCGTGCATCTTTTGATTTGTTTAAAAACCTGTCAATATGATTCATAAATGACAATCATCTTCCTTGAAAAATCCATGACGAATCATTTGACTCCAGGAAATCCAAGGGAACTACTTTAGATTGCACCCATCTTAAATTGAGAGGATGGTTTCACGTGAGTCTGAGATGTCGTCGTCATCGTTGGGGTCTCCTTGAGAGACCGGTCTCCATGAGACTGGGACATCCATCTTTCGCAAGAAATCTTCCGCCGTCTTCCCTCGATCGTTTGGAATGTCCATGCGTGCCCCTGCGGAAACCAGGAGTGGAATGACTTCAAACTTCCCGGTCAAGATGCTGAAGATCAAGGGGGTGGCACCATAATGATGATACGCCAAGTCGGTCAATTTGGAGGGACTCAAGTGGTGAACTGCGTGCAATGACTTCATGAGGCCCCACCATGCCATTCGACTCATAGGGATCTTCAGCCGCTCATTGACATCGCACGATGCATCGATCAAGAAACTGATGGTGTCGCTCTCTCCGCTGAAGGCCAAGGCCATGTGCAAGCAAAAGCGCAGGCTCACCTAAGACCGCGACAGGATGATACTGGTGTATGGTTCCTGGATCTGATCTACACCTATGGTTACAACATGCCATAACTCATTCCTTCAACTATGACACACTGTGTTGCATGATGTATCGGGCATTGTGACTCAATGTGAAGAAATAGGGGGTGAACTCAGAAATGATGGCACGATGGCACGGATCAAAGCAGTATCCTTCACTCCATTCGTTGGAACCAATGCTTGGTGGATTGTTGACACCCTGCTAGAATTTGGTAGGCACCTGTAGAACCCCCCAAACCATAATTGACACTAAGCTCCAGCAATGTCAATTTGGAGGGTTTATGCAGCTCATTTCTACAGTCAAACCTAGATTTTGCTACCCCCTGGCCATGACTATTAGGGGGTTGCCACCTGAAGTCCTAGTTTCGACTTGATGTTCCCCGATGAACTAAACCGGTGCTTACTAGTTACTAGTAGGCCTGCGTTAACATTATACCCATGATATACCCATAAACTGGTTGGTTTACTTCCCTTCCTTTTATCATAAGGTTTCAGGGCTTTTTATAATTCACACAAAGACAAAGACCACCAAATATGTAAATAGCGATTCTACATTAAAAAAAACAATTGTCCAAAAACTGTAGGTATTTCGAACACGTCAAGAACTATCTGTAGCCTCTCCGGTAATCAATCATGGCAGGCCGGAAAATCCACCATTTATAATCATTTATAGCTGATGCTCACTGATTTTCCCATGAAAACTCCATTGATAGGGGATGTTCGATGATTTTCAAGCTATAAACCTCCATTTAGTTCGGGGATCTTCTACTTTTCTTAGTGAGTACATGTAATTACCAATCCACCAACCAGCCTACGGCCCAAGTCTAGGGACACGAAAAAATCCGTTTGATCCCTTCAAAAAATGATAGCCATGGTTATTGAAATGCTAAAACCCAACCAATGAAACCTAAAATGGCACTACTATATCATATCATATAGCAACCGGGTTAACGTAATAATCTCTATATTTTAGGATAGTAAATATCATATGAATAGAACCCATGGAACAATGATAACAATCCAGCTGCACAGGGCTGAATGATGCTGAATGATAATTGGTATATTCTTCTGGCTGGAGTATGACAATTAACTAACTTGAAGATAGCTGTTATCACACGGCCATTTGGGCATAATTCCCCCATACTTATTCCAGTAATGCCACAGTGCGGTCGTTACAATTCACCAAAATGATATACCCTCTGGTAAACTAACAGTTTGCTATTGAACATGGCCATTTATAGTGGATTTACCCTTCAAAAAATTCAAAAAATGGTGATTTGCCATAGTTATGTTAGTTTACCAAAGGGTATACAGTAACTTCATCTATTCAAGGCTCACCATTCACAAAAAGGCTTCATACGACAGGCCCTGAAGTTTCGAGGAAACCTTCAGGAACCTCCCAACATATTGCCATAATGCTACACCGTCCCCATGCTAGGTTTTAGGGAATTATGGGAGTCTATTCAGGTATGATGGATTTTATTGCTCTGGTGCAATATATTAGATATGATTTTGTTATAAATGATTGTATCCTTTAGGATCCTTTAGGTATGTAAAATAGTGACAAGCATATAATCATAGGTGTGTGTGCTTTATAATACACCCAATTGTGATCGTGACATCGTGACATTGTGCCGTTTGGCACAGCGGATCTCCACGTGACTCTGAAAGATGAACTAAAAATAATTTGCAGCACCCGTCCGTAATTTTTCACACGACAGGGTAGATCATGTTGAAACTATTGAATTTCGCGAGCTCTCGTTTATCAGAAATTGCGATTGAAATTCACCAACATGTGTTGAAACATTAGGTTGCGCCAAAATGAATTGTTTTTTATTCAATTTTGGGGAAACGAGACTTGTGAACACATATCATGAGATGCCGCCCTAGAACACATGACCATACAGCCATTAGCCACACTCATACAGACAGAAAGTTGATTAACTGCACTGGCACAGCAGTCTCAAAGTTCATGGGCTTAAAAAAAAAGTTCAATGATGTAATCTAACAGCTTTGTGTGAATGATGATTATCAACACATGACAGATTTAATTGCTGAAACCATTGCAGATCTATGAATGGCAACCCAAGCTGGCAAAGCATTGCAGCATCTAAGAAGTATGGCTTGAGTTGTCAAACATAAATGGGTCAGACATTAAGTTCTTATTGATTGATTAAACCATGCGAATTGGACAAATGTGATCTTGGCCTATGCAAAATCGATCAACTATGGTCATAAGTGATCATTTTCATGGCCACTAAAGCTTTGCAAAATTCTTCACACAGAATGTGTGGCAGAATGATGGTAATAGGTTTCGTTTGTGAAAAACTGCAAGCCACACACAAAGTTGTATGCAAAACCAATAATGATTACTAAACTTCAGTTTAACACATACATTGGGCGAAATCACCAACTTTAACAGGAATTTGGGTACTAAGCAAGTTTGTTTTGAAGTGCATGTGCAAGTGTGAAGTGGAGGCATGTTGCTTTATAGTCCAACTCATATTGGAAAAACAAATTGAAAATAGTGCAAACATGATGAATGTGCACAATATGTGTAAAAAAGTTTGAAAACAGCTTCCAAAACCACTCAATTTGAAACTTTTTTACACATATTGTGTCCCCAAGACTGGTGTGTATCAGAAATTCTGATACCAATCAGGTTTTGACATCCAAAAACATATGTATCAGAAATTTCTGATATGTATCATAAAATTTTGATATGTATCATAAAAATATATATCAGACATTTCTGATATGTATCAGAAAAATCTGATATGTATCAGAAATTTCTGATATGTATCAGAAATTTCTGATATGTATCATAAAATTTTGATATGTATCATAAAATTTTGATATGTATCAGAAATTTCTGATATGTATCAGAAAAAGCTGATATGTATCAGAAATTTCTGATATGTATCAGAAATTTCTGATATGTATCATAAAATTTTGATATGTATCATAAAATTTTGATATGTATCAGAAATTTCTGATACATATTTTTTTTCAAGATGCATCAGAAATTTCTGATATCGTTCAAAAACAAACAACAAATGCATATTGTAAGGCACACCTTTAAAAAAAATAACTTGGGCAGCTGGCAGCCGGCAGCCCTAGAGTCTGAGTATTTAGGTAAGCAGAGCCGCCAACTTAGTTTATGTTTGTGACTACAAAAGGTGGTATCAAGGCTACAAATGTATAGTAACCCGTTAGCTGCTTGCTAGAGTTGAGCTTTAGACTTTAGCCTCAAGCTTTTGGGTACGGACCAATCGCTAGTGTCATGCAACCTGTTAGTATGGATGTTAAGCACATACAGGTCATTCTGTTGGTCTGTTGGATTTTGGGCCCATTTCAAGTCGCTAAAGATTTGCATCTTATTCTATTGTTTTTGTTGCTGGTTTGGAGGTTGCCTGCGTGGCGATGCGATATGTGTTTTTAAGTAACTTTTTTTTCCCCCATACTTTTGAACACATCTGTGGCCCCCCCGTAGGCCAGACTATGTTGTGAACACATAACAGCCCAAAAAACATAACCCCACGAAATTTAGCAGTTGAAACTTCATCTTCGGGTCACCTCCATGCGATCGGTCGCCAGCATGGCCCGCATGACCTTCACACTGCCCACCGCGCAGGCGGTGCGGAAGGGGCTGACGTCGGGGAAGGCCTGCGCCGTGATGGGTGAATCCCCCCAGGATCACAAAGATGATGGTTTACATCTATAAATATACATAACATGATATATAATATAAAATACATAAATGTAGACTATAATATGGACTATATAAAATAAATAAATAAATAAATAAATGAATAAATAAATATATATATATATATATTATAAATTAAAAAATAATATAATATAATATATTATAATATACTATAATATAATATAATATATATATAATATATATATATATATTAATATTTATATTATTATATATATTATATTATATTATATTATATTATATTATATTATGTTAACATATATAAAATAATATAATAATTCAATATAAACTTTAATATATATACAATAAAATATATCTATATAATATATAAATATAGATTATATTGCTTCATCACATGTTCATGTATACATGTAATAATAATAATAAAATAATAATAATAATATATATATATATATATAGCAATTTCTTGCCCATATTCCAGGGCCGAACATATTCCATGCCAAAATAGCTGGGAAATTTCAGGGAATTGCGAAGACCTCTTTCAGGTGAAATTTGTATTTCATACAGTTTGCCAAGTACTCCTTTTCTTCTGGCACGTACGTTGTCGACTGCACATGTTCTTCCCCAAAGAAGATCCTTACTTTCAACAATTTTGGAAATGTCATAATTAATAATGTTGAGCTTTCCAAAAATGGATTAATAATGTTCTTATGGGGATTTGTCATCTACACTTTTCAGGATCTCAAAACCCAATTCATAAGCTTGAAGCTTATGTTCTGGCACGCTTGGCTGGCCTTTCACCAGCAGCGCCATCTCCATCTTTCTTGACATCTTTGTGGCCCCGCAAAGAGCTCTGCACAACAGGATCTGGGAACACAAATCAATGACGATCCTGTTTTCTTCCGTGCAAAATAATTCCACCGATAGAATGCGATGCCACCCCTGGAGTGCGCTAATTTTCTGGAATGCGAAAATAGAACAGTATGCGTGGCCCCCTTCGACCTTCCCCATGGATCCAACACCATTTGTTTTTCATCATATACCAGAAATTTATCACACTCACCCTGCTGAGCTGCTGGACTCCTGTTTTTTTGCCATTTTGGCCAAAATGGCCTGGAATGCGATAGTAGTATGTGAAACTACCGACGTCTCAGGTGGGAATTCCATCTTCCCCATATTCCAGAATACGTGATCCCAGGCCATTTTAGCCAAAAACGAAAAAACAAAAGAAAGAAAAAAAACGAAAAAAACGTTTCATTCACCGAGTACGAAGATTTTATGGAGTGCGCAGATCGTGCCGAGCGCGATGATTTGACAGTATGTGTACCCCCCCAGCTGTGGAGTGCGATGCCCTTGCTGGAGTGCGAAGGATTTGTGGAATGCGAAGAATTCCGAGTATGCGTGGCTGGTATAGAAACCACATAGAGAAATGTCAGGGCCAGAACCAAAATTCCAATCCCAAAGCCAGCCCAAACTTCCAGGGGCACACCAGTGGGTTCTATTTTTCCGAATTCACCTTGGGTGAGGCCCCGGGGAAGAAACTGGCTAATTTTTACTCAGCCAACCTTTAAACGTTACCTTTGACAACCCTTTCCTTCTTCGGTAGACAAATGAGGAAACTCCCTTATCAAAGCAGCCTTCAATTCATCCAACGTCCACAGCTGCTTTGGAACGACATAGGGGATAGAAAGCTGTGGAGGGGCATTCAGTGGATTCGCCATGGCCCAACTGTTCCCTCCAGATTGAGCTGAAATACCTATCAAAGTAACATACCAAAACCCAGGTCTGGAGTGATGAAAACATGGTATGCGCAGATTTTCTGAATATATGGGAATGTTGCTTCTAGAATATATATATATATATGCATATATGTGAGATATATGTGTGGTTTTCTTCCTTCATTGGAGTTATATTGTACGTAATTGTGATCCATGATTATATGGACATAAATTGATAGGAAGGACATAAGTGGGTGAACAAACAAATCAACAGCCACAAAATCTCAGGTGAAGTGGTAGGGCCAACGGTTGTAACAGTCTCAGCTATGGTGCCAGGTGCAAGCCCAAACTTGGTAGCTGCGTAAATCTGTGGTTTCTACTCATCTGGTTCTTCGGTTTAAAGAGTTTAACTATTCGATGATATTCGAAGGATTGTATTTTTTCCATGGGTAAGATTAATCCTGAGGTAAACTAACCTTTTGATTGGTGATACAATGGGAAACCATGGCGGATAGACTGGGATACAATGGGACAAGTAGGCAATAAATGAGACGGGACTACCACACGAACCCTATTGAGGTTTGTGAAACTGGGTATGCCCTGATCTGTAGGATGATGTCTGCATATGTTTACCATTACCTCAAACGGCTGGTTGCTGGGATGGTTAATCATTGCAAACTCGGACCCACGAGCTCATATTTGGAAATCCGGGAGCCTATGAAAGAGGTGCTGCTTTGGTTCGGGAACCCGAACATAGACAAAAACAACAGGGAGATCGGACTTCCCAAGGCAAAAAATATGTTTGAAGGGATTTGTGTGTTTTTGTTTTACGCATTCTACATTTTACATCTTGTTGCTTTCTCCCGACTGATGTAGGCTGCAATGTCTTGACACTGCCAATTGGACATTTCTTTGAGGGGGACATATGGCCGACTCCCGGTTCTGCTCATGAATTTGAACCTCTTTGCAAATGCGGTAGCCAGTAGCCAACGGTGGCAAACGTATGACACCTGTCAACCAATTCCCTGGACACCCAGTTTCCAGGCTTCACTTCATCCCTGATTTTCACCAGAGATATCACATAATTACCCAGAATTATCATTGACACACATTTATCTATATATAGTCTATATATTTAAATAGCTTATACTATGAATGATATCTACAATATATATATATATATGTGTGTGTGTAGCTTATATATACTATGACTATTAATGAATCATTCACCGAACTGTTTCGCAGGTCCACGCCTTCAGCAAGGGATTCACCTTGGCCTCAAGGAGCAGCTGGACCGCCTCCGCGTTGTCCGAGATCGCGGCCCAGCTGAGGGCAGTGCAGCTGTGACCGCAGCGCGCGTTGACTTTGGCACCACTGGAGAGGAGGAGTTGCAGCACCTGCCATGAGATTTCAGCGGGAGCTGGAAACTGATGACCAAAAAAATCGGAGAAAAGTGGGAAAACTGGAAAATATGGAGCTGGAAACAGGTTTCTATCTTGTGTGGGGATAAATGGAAGGGAACATCTTAACCGGAAACCGGGGTTTTGACCATCAAGTGTAGGGGTTTCTGAAAGATTCTTTTAAACCAATGCTGGGACAGGTGGCGAGTGGATTGGTTCACCCCAGTTGCAGCTGGCCTAACCCTACTTATCCCACTTATACAGGGGGTTATTAATTACCGAGTTATGAACTGGGGCATGGGGAGTGGGATGATGTGTTAAACAATATTTCAAACAACTTTTTGTTGTTCCTCTGTTGCGCGTGTAAAAATGAATCACACAAAAATGGGAAGCGTGTAGCCGACCAGTTGGTACTGGAATTGTTAGATATTATTTTGAAATTCCAATCAAACATAATAGGGACATAGAGGGATAAACAATTTATCATCTACATACATTCAGACATGATTGGGCACATAAAACATGTTTACGCAACAAACCAAACAAATAATCCAGTTGGTGATTGTGATGGCCAGTGATGGCTGGTGGTTACGCACATGGATCATATAGGAATCCCGAACAGCCGCCAACCTAAAGGAGTAACAAAGCAACACCCCGTTCAAGAGTTGCAGGTGCATTGCGCATGATCACCACGATCGAACCTCATTGCTGTGGTAATGCGCCGCCAGAGAAAGCACTGGAAGATTCTTGCTCAAATTCAAATCCTCACAGCGAGGGAAAACATATGCAGTCACCGCCGGTGTGTTTGGTTTTAAGCCATGACATGCATTATTCAGTCCGTTGGAATTCATCGTGCCAAACCAGGGAAGATAAGGAAGGACCCCGAACAGTTTGAGACCAGCAGCCAAGGTCACAAAATGGTTTGCATATTACAGATAGCTTCGAAGTAAAATTGAAGCACATCCATGCATGAATGTCGAACTGCCAAACAAGAATTGTTTGATTACCAGAGCGGAGCCCATCTGCTTCCCATCTTTGGGTTATAGCCGAAAGCTAATTAGTTGCTAGTAGCTGTGGTGCATGATTTATACACAAATCTTCCGCGGTATCATTAAGTGATTGCCCAGTTACTAAGCAACTCACCCCTTTCGTAAACACCACCAAAAGAACTGTAGAAAGTATATATATATAGGATCTAGTCCTACATGTGTATATATATATATATATGTATGTAAATATGGATGTGTATATATATATATATATGTGTGTGTTAATGTGTGCGTGTTAATGTATTATATATATATGTAAAAATGAATGAATAAACAATAAACATCTATCCATTTATGTTTCTTTCTTTCTTTCTCTTTATTCGATACAAGTACACTAGACTAGACTATACTCTACGAATATATACGAATATGATTGAGCGCTTCATGGCCGACCTTAGATAACCTGCATATTGAGTGTTTGCAATTTACCTTGCAGGGACATATGTGTGCCAAACATGGCCAAACTAGCCATCAGTTGGTTTACCTCCATTGTTGGAGTCTCAGAATCAACTCCAAAATGAGTCTTGGTGTTGAACCAAGAAGAAATCATGGTGAAATCATGTTAGATCGTTCATGTTCGCTGTGTCCCGGCGCCTTCTTGAATTTGGTGGTGCGATCTTGGCAGTTTGCCCGGCACTTCAAAAGGCTTTTCACAATGTCCACCTGGCCCTTCAACACCGCATAGCACAATGGCGACCAGCCTGCAGCACAGCGCCCGATGGACATTTGGCGCAAATCCGGTCAGTTCAGGAAGGAATTGGCTGGGTTATATCTTCACCCCAGCATGTTCTTTTGATTTATCATTGTGAATATAATTCATTATTATACCTTCTTATCATAAAATAATTCACATTTATTCATATTATCATTTTGAATTAATCATGGTGAATTCATGTGAATAGTCCAATCAAAATATATGGTATTTCATAGGTTTAGATCCATCCCTAAACCCAAAGAAAAGGGATTTTTTAAACATTTTGAGACATGGAAAATGGAGGACGTAAGCCCAAATGAGTCTCAACTGCAAATGGGATGGTGTCAGAATCACGGTGACTGACGTTTTGTGGGGTCGACCCACACCCGCTAAGCAACCCAAAGCAACAATGATCGGCATGCAATGTAGCCATTTTTTGGGTACTCTTGAGAAATTCATTGCAAAACACAAATCAAGAACCAGGGAAATCGAACATTGAAAATCCAAAATAAAAAATGTCTGGTTGGTGGTATACCTACCCCTCTGACAAATAGGAAAGTCAGTTGGGAATATGACATTCCCATATATTGTGGGAAAGTCATAATCCAGCCATGTTCCAAACCACCAATCAGCAGGGGATTGATTCTAGCTGAGAAGTGTTTTTTCTCATTCACCGGCAAATGTATGTCGGAGGCATTGGGGATCATCATCCCAAGTTGTGGTTGAATGTCACTCATGTTTCCTCCCTTTGGGGTTACGGAAAAAAACCCAGCTACCATGATCCCCATTTTCTCCGCCTGCTGCATCACGTTCAGAGATTCGGCGGAAGCCATTCTCGTGCAGAAAACGCGCCACAAGAAAACCTGCGTACAGAGCGGCCGGGGAAACACCCGGGCGAAGAAAACTATAGTTTTATAAGCTCCGAAAGCTGAGATATGATCCGGGGCTCCAATATTATGCTTTATACCACTCATATACCATCTGGTTGTTTGACATAGCATATGGAAAATCCATTATAAATGGAGGTTTATAGCTGGGAAAATCATCTGTAAATGGGTCATTTTCCATTGCAGACTGTTAAATAACCAAAGGGCAATACAAGGGTAATGCATTTCGATGTGGGCCCCTAAAGTGGCGGTTCATTGGTCCATTAGTGTCCATTGTCACTTGGGCTTCTCGAAAAAAATGGGAGATACTATCTCTTAAACATATGCTATTTACTGACAATGAGACATCATTGGACAATAAGAAAGTATCATGAGTAACATATCGTCATATATGCAAAACATCATTATCAGCAATAAAGTATTGTACTATTTATCATCCATATCTGGGGGATCATCATTTTGAGACAACCCTGCTCTTTAGGAATATAAAATTCGAAATTCGATGGACATCTTAACGAAACCACCCAGGCCCGTGGAGATTGTTCCGACTCAAGTAGTCTTAGATGCCCTGCAAAATAATACGTATATTTCTTTGGCCGGTTCATACGTAAATATAGATGTGTACAATATAGATACATGTAGATACACCTGATACACCCACAAATTGAAGTATATGATTGACATTAAGTGACGCTTCCCTAGAATTTACCCAGTATCCAAATAAATAAAACGCAAAGAACACACAGCACAAAAAGCACCATAAGAGGCAGCCAGACACCTTCAGCATCCCTGGCAGGATCGATTGGGGAGTTGAAGTCTGGCACTAAACTTTCCTGGTTGGTGGTATAGCTACCCCTCTGAAGAATGATGGAGTGAAAGTCAGTTGGGATGATGACATTCCCATATGTTGTGGGAAAGTCATAAAAGCCATGTTCCAAACCATCGTCCCCAGTTTCCATGGGCTTCAGGTCAAAGCCGGCCAGGTAGAAACGCTGGAGATTCAAGAGGAGTCCTCGGCCCGAGCGGCTCGGCTGCGCGGCTGCCAGGTCAAACTCTCCGAAATTCCCCAGGGCCCCAGGGGATCCTGTGGGAAAGAAATGTTCGAAGCCCAAACATGCTGCGTTTTTGCATGTTTGAAAGAAATCACACAGATCCCATGGGTTGAAAAAAAATATGAAAAATGCGGAAACCAGCCAATTTGGGAAACACCTGTGGGTCAACCATATAGCCTATGGCACAAAGGACCGATGGCCGGTCCCATCGACAGCCTCCACTGTGTCAAACCTCCTGTCTTCTGAAATTTTCAGACTCTAACCATGCGCTACTTCTGTTTTTTGCTGGAAGTTTCGCCCTTGAGACTTTTGGGGTCTTTGTTGAGATGTTTTTGTTTTCCAAGTTTTTTGGCAAAGTCTTCGGGGAGATTCTTTCAAGATGTTGTTGAGGTTTCTTGGAGAATTTGTATGAATTTGTTGTCTTTTTTGGTGCGTGCTCAACTTTTTGGGAACTACATTGGTCAACCCAAAACACACACACAATTCTTGAAAACTGGAGCTCCAGTTCCAGTTTGCAATGGATATATAACCGCATGGACCACATATCGATATTGTTATTGGGGTTATATCCCAGCGGACGGGGGTTATTACACTTGTTATACCGATGTTATTCATTTATAACCACAACTGCACCCCCAAGTGGTTGGCAGGGATTTCTGCTCGAATCATCAGTAAAAAAAGGTGCGAAGCAAAACGGCATCCAGGGACGGTAGCCTTGAAGATCTCCAGCTTCAAGAAGAAAATGCAATTTCTTCCACACCATTTGAAGCACCGCCTGTCCGACTTTTCTGCGATCCTCCTCAAAGCTATATTCCTTGGACCGCTTGGATTTGCTTCAGGAAACCAAAAAAAGAATCCTTTTGGAGTGGCCAGTGAATTGTATCATCGCTGGTGTTTCCAAAACGGTTGAAACATATTATATCGTACTTAATGTTCGTGTTAGTTTAACAATATTTATTAATCATTGGGGATCATCATCCCATACATCATATACAATTGATATATTTGAACATTCAAAACAAATGAAACCACCAGCCAAACACCAAAACATAACCACAACAGAATATGTCCAAAAACATCACCGCCCTAACCGGGATTCGCCAGTGCCCGGCTGAGTACACACGGCCGTACCAGTGGTCATCATCAATGTCGGATGGCTGGCCGTTTTCACGGTGATGATGCACCCCTCCTCCTGCGCGAGCTGCCTGCTAAGCTGCTCTAAGCGGCACCACCTGCGTGCAGGGGAAGGCTGTAAACCACTGAAGGTACCACGTGCTAAACATCGGTTTTTGGATCTGGATCGTTTTGTCATTTTTTGCGGCCGTGTCTGGGAAGATATTTGGCTTTGGTTATTGGGACCCATAAAATGCTCATAATTAATGTATGATTCTGTGCTGATTTTTGTCCAAAGAATCTGTACGGATACTTCCGGGTATTTGATTCTCTGGACCTAGGCTCGCACCTGGTGCCAAACTCATTTTTGCTGGTCTGTAGCCCAGTTCAGTTCATATAAGAAGCTAAAAGGAAACAACAACATCTCAGATGGTTTTCGGGGTACGTTGGGAAGACCTCTAAATTAAGATGATTCATGATGTTTCATCCTTGAAGTGACCATCTCAAAGTATCTCTACACAGCACGCTACCCTGAGGGCAGCACCCGCGGGCCGCCCAGCTGGAAAAGTTCAAGTTGCGGCCATGCGAGCAGATGGAGGGGCATAAAATGATAAAGAACGCACATCTCGCCTTGGCGAATCAAAATTTCTCCAGGGCTCTAGGGTGAAAAAAAACATAGTGGTGACCCCGAAAGTGGGGGATCCCCAAGTCACCATAGAGGTGTCAATACTTAAATGGGCATCCATCTCTTGGATGATCTGGGGGTACCCCCATGACTTAGGAAACCTCCAATTCCGTTTATAATCATCATATTCTCCATGTTAAAAATCACACTGAAAATCATCATATATATATATCATCATATTCCCCATATATGTCTCTCTATTTATGGTATCTGTTGGGGACATATGGGTTATTATCATCATCCCCATATTCAATAGGTAGTATACAGTATAAGTCCTAAAAAGTATTCACTTGGCCCGGGCTATCTTTCATTGCTCCAGCCCTTCCGAGTGGCCACGTAGGAGGCGATGCAGCTGATGGCCAAATGCCGCTTGGCCGTTGCTTCCACGGAATGACCCTGCGGACAGCAGAAGTAGTCATACCTAAGGGCCGCAGGCAGCGTGAAAATGTCGCGCGATGCCAGAAATATAGGGGGCGGAAATGGGTTGAATAGATTATATATATGTTTATGATGTATGACTCATGACTCTTTAAGACTATCTAACACTAATAAATCATGTTTAGATTTAAGCACTATCCTTAAACGATATAAAAGGACGTATGCTTAAAACATGTTCAAACCATACTGTGAACATTTGGCCGAAAATTGTAGGATGGATAATGGAAACAACGACGCGAAACTTTCGACCCTGCGGAATCATCGGCGCTTTTAGATAATGACCAGATAGTACCAGGTCTATTTCGACCAACAAAATTGGGACCCTACTTTTTAATGTGCCAGTGCCAGTTAGGAAGTAGTTAATCACCAACAAACAACCAGTTGTATAATGTTGTATAAAGGACATTCTGATATACAACTATATGCCTTACCCAGATTTCTGGTGAGTAAATCTGCCCACCGTGGCTCGACCCAGATACCAAATATAGAGCGGCTGCGCTTTGAACTCCGATGCCGTAGGGCATTTCAAGCGCCCTGTGGGGCGTTGCTGGGGGTTCTTGAAATCAGGGATCCGCAAAACCATAGGCTTCGACTCCAAAATGGCCTAATTTTGGATGATTTGGGGGGTTACTCCTATTCCAGGAAACCCTCAATTTACCTTCTGGTACTGAAATGGGTCTTCGATGAATTCCATATAATTCCATCAGATTCTAGTTTTGGTATCACCAGTCCTCTTCCTTGATGTGGATGATTTTTCAATGCTTCATTTTTTCCATGCGTTTTTTTTAAATATATTTTTGTTTCCAACGGAAACTTTGAAACATCTGGAAACATACGGAATAAACATGTTCGCTGCAACCTGGACATTTGCCCGGAGTTGATGTCCCGCCTTCCTGATTTTGATCCCTCATGAAGATAAAGTTGATGTTATTACTCCATGCAATATATTGGTCATAGGAGGTGGCAAATTTTGATCCCTCATGAAGATAAAGTTGATGTTATTACTCCATGCAACATATTGGTCATAGGAGGTGGCAAATTTTGATCCCTCATGAAGATAAAGTTGATGTTATTTCCCCAATCAAAATATTGTTCTGAGGAGGTGGCGAATTTCGATCCCTCATGAAGATAAAGTTGATGTTATTACCCCATTCAACATTGGTCATAGGGGGTGCCGAATTTTAATCCATCATGAAGATAAAGTTGATGTTATTATTCTAACCAACGTATTGTTCAGAGGGGGTGGCGAATTTTGATCCCTCATGAAAATAAAGTTCATGTTATTTCCCCAATCAATATATTGTTCTGTTATGTCACAATCATGAGTCTGGGCGAACGTTAAGGTTGCGGACAACATGTTCAAATGGTGATGCCATCTATTTCCACGGGAAAACTTTTAAACATATTATTGCCCATAGGATCCATGTATGCCATATATGGTAACATTTGCCATCAATATACCCCATTTATGTTAGCATATATACCAGCACCATGGATCCTATGGGTTATTTTTTGGTTACCCACGGAAATCCAAAGTTTGGTGATTCCATCTCCGGTGAAATCCACCCAGCGCGCCGTCAACGCCTTGCGCCAGCTCTACAACTGTGGGTAGGGAGACCTGACTTCGACCCGTTAGCAGATTCTGCAAGGCTTTCCTGAGATGGAAAGGCAAACAGAAGGCCATGAAAAGGATCAAAGAATGGATGAACTATAGATGAACTAATGGGAAACAACTTGTGTTTTCATGTTTTTTTCTAAGTGCATTCATTAGGTGGTTTCCCAGTGGATTAAGGGGAACGCATATGTTTAGTCATTTGCAATCCCAGCAGGTCCCCCGAAATGGTTTCCGGACACCCCTAGATTGCAGGGGAAAAAACAGCCTTAAATTACTTTACTTCGTGTGATCCCCACCATGACATTTATACATGTTGTTGCTGGCAAATCTTCTGGCATTCTATCTGACATATCTTCTGGCATTCTATCTGGCATATCTTCTGGCATTCTATCTGGCATATCTTCTGGCATATTATCTACTCAAATCTTCTGGCATTCTATCTGGCAAACATTCTGGCACTTTATCTGGCATATCTTCTGGCATTCTATCTGATTCTATCTTTTATCTGGCATTCTATCTGGCATACCTTCTAGCATTCTATCTGGCATATCTTCTAGCATTCTATCTGGCATATCTCCTGGCACTCTATCTGGCATATCTTAATTATGGCATTTTATCTGGCATATCTTCTCGCATTCTATCTGACATTCTATCTGGCATATCTTCTGGCATTCTATCTGGCTTTTGAGGTCCAGCGGTGCGCACTGAGCTCGGAAGGCCCCAGGTTGAGGTCCAGCGGTGCGCACTGAGCTCGGCAGGTCCCAGGTTGAGGTCCAGCGGTGCGCACTGAGCTAGGAAGGTCCCAGGTTGAGGTCCAGCGGTGCGCACTGAGCTGGGAAGGTCCCAGGTTGAGGTCCAGCAGTGCGCACTGAGCTCCGAAGTTGGTGAAGAGCTTGGCCAAGAGTTGGCAAGGCAACAGTGGACGTGGAAGTGGAGGCAGAGGTCGTAGAAGAGGAGGAGGACGCGGAGGAGGAGAAGGAGGAGGAAGGAGGAGGAGAACAACTCTGATAAAATCTAACAACCCTCACCTGGCAAGTGGGGAACAACATGGTTTCCGGGTTCAGATTTGCCCTGAAACTCAACCATTCAACATCATTCAACCATTGACGTCTAGGCTTCTGTAGCACAGAGAGCTGGACGGAGTCAGGATCTGGATGGTGACTGCCTCGGGCCGTGAAATGATCAGCCAAATATGAGGACTTGGCACAAGGATAACATGTTTAAACTCTGTAACTGTTCAACAAAACAACTAAATCGTGGATTTTAAAAGCCAACTATAATGGGATTCCATTAAATTTTAGCCAAGAATGGTGATATCACCAATGGAGGGTAGCTGATAAGGTAGAATGGCCACGGAAATCTAATCGTGCCCTGTGCAAAAAGGTGACCCCCTTCAGTAAGGCCTTGTTTATCTTACTTGCTGGGGTTATAGAAGCAATCAGCCCTTGTCCCAACCATGTGAAACCTCCAGTGCTTGTTGGAATGTCATTGTATATCTCTTTTTCTCACTTGATAGCTAAACAAATGACAAACACACGCCTGGTATTGCACCCCCGTCAAATATCAAGGTACATTACCCAAAAATTGTGTTTTACCACACGATTTAGATGCTTTTAGCATCTTTTAGCTTGTTTTGAGGTATTTGGAGGGTCTAGGGTCTGGGATTTATATGCTTGGCCTGAAAAAGAAAAGGACTGGGAATATCATACTGACCATCAATGGATTTGTCCGATGGGCCTCGCCCGTGTATACTGCAGCAGTAAGACCATTCAAGTGCATTTCCTGGGGTGAATAACATGTAGTGTTCACGGCTGGTTGGTGGTTTCAAACCCTCTGAAAAATATGAAAGTCAATGGGAAGGATGACAACCCATATATTCTGGAAAATAAAAGCCGTGTTACAAACCGCCAACCGTTCCTTTCGGATGGTTTCCTACGAACCAGAATGGTGAGGTCGTCCCGTCATCCAATGAAGTCGCCCCGAAAAAAAGCCTCGGACTGAGTGGTTCTGGGGAACTTGTACAGGGATTACCCCAGAATTGATGGGAAAAAACATGGTTTCCTTCGGATGTTCGGATGTACAATGAAAATCTTCAGAAGAATTTATTCCCTATGGATCCAAACACTGTGTGAGAAGGTACTCAACCCCTAAATCATACCCCAAACACTTCCTAAGAAGGTACTTGGATCCATAGGGAGTCTAAATTGGTATTGATGCAAGTAGTGGGAATAGGCTTCCCGGACTAGAACAGCCTCAAGAGGGATGACAGCCACCAGGGATACCCAGCGCAGCAGTGCCAGGTGGCTGACCCATTGGTGAGACACAAACATGGCTTTTCCCATCGTTGCCAAAAATTCACAAAGTACACCAGCCTCCTGAGCCGAGCAAAAAAAAGGATGAAACTGCAGGCCGGTGGTTTTTCAAGGAAAGGTCTAGTGTCACTGGATTGGTTCAAGGGAAAATCTACCGGAAACCGTGTTTCCCCCTTATATTTACATAATATAATTATATATGTATCTATATATATATAAATATATATATACTTATATATATTTTTTTTTTTCTATCTCTCTCTCTCTCTCACCATCGCCATCTCCATGTATATATTATGTGTTTTGAACACTTTTCCATCATCCAAGAGCGGGAATTGCAATCCAGTGCTTAAGGTTTGTGAAAAAAAACAAGCTTTGCAACCCAACAGCAGTTTGCAGGGTTCCAGGGTTCCATGTTCTGGTTCTGTTCAGATTTCTTGGCCCCGAGACCCAGAGATTGAACCCAACAGTCACTGCTGTTGGGAATATATACCGTGGATGATATGCTGAAAATCATTGAAATGACTTTTAACAAGTAAGCAGTTTCATTGTGGAACAAATTCCACCATGGAGCACCTGACACATCATTTCGTAAAAGAACCAGGGAGAACATTACCTTTGATGACTTGGACAAAGATCGACAGTATCTATAGTAATCTATAGTCAGCTTGGCAACTCATGGCAGGAAGTCCTACAAAATAAAAGATGAAATAAGGGAGGAGTTTTCCACTTGAGCAGGACCCCTTGATCAGCCTGTTTGCTAAGCAGTTCCGAATCAGTTCCGCAGTCATCCCAGAAGGATCTCCACTGCGGTGGGTTTACACATGCGCACGGAAAGAAACGAGAACGCCTAAATGGGAAGGATTCTTTAAAATCAACCACCAGTCTACTTAAGTGTGTCTTCTCATACGTTCATTCTTTCACCTAGTTTCACAACATCCGGATCCAAGGTATCTGACAGTCTCTGAACCTTTTTGACTCGAGTCTAGGGTCTTCTTTGTTTTGAGGGCAAAGTCCCTAGATATATGGATATTAAATGTGTATACTGTATATATATATATACACCATATGGACCACCAGTATGTGATGGCTCAGTTCTTTGATGTTCTGTCTTACTTTCGGGGTAAAAGATTGTAAAAGGACCCTACGCAACCCATTCCAGATCTCCCAATGCACAGATTAGAACGATTGGGATTTGTGTCGGCGACAATGGCGAATGAATGCCTGACACAAAACAAAACAAGCAAAGGGCTGGGTTTTGCACAATTATAAAAAGATTGGTTTGTAGAAATAAGACCTCCGTGCCACATGCACTTGAATTGCTGTATGTCAAGTTGCCTCATTGAAAGACCCCAACAAAAATCCAGAGTTTGATGCAACGTAGCTGTTCATAGAACGCGGTACCCACGGAAAGCGAAGCCGGAATTGGAGTACAACCCTTTGATTTGATGAAGGAATCCCCCAAGTGATCCCAACGAATCCAAGGGCGCCATTTTTATTTATGGCGTGTCAGGCAGCTGCCAGTTCCCACAAGAAGCGGTGCCCCTGGAAACTCTTGAAAGTTGGTACATGGAATGATCTACTGTATATAATACAGTATCTATCGATCAAAAGATGCATAATTAGATCAGTATCGGGTAAACACCACCAAAATAACCTTGCAAAGATGTTCCCATCGAAAACGCCCCGATGACTCGTCGCTATAGGCGCCGCCCAGTGGCCGTTAACTCTTCATGCGCCTGTATCCGAGTCATATGCAGCAAAATCTCCAGCGGCACCTCATTGCGGAAATCCAATATTCATGGTTGATTCAAAAGATATGTGCCCAATGATTTATCATTGTTGATAATCCTTATTTATTCAATTTGGCCACAATGAAGATTGAAAAGCATGGCCGATGGATATATAAACATGCAGTTACACGTACGTCATAAGAGCAGGCTGATTTACGTCAACAACAACAACAACAACAACCGTACTGGCATATATATATATAATTATTTATGAACAATGATGGGACATAAAATCCGATAACCAACCAACATCAACCAACAAATGAAACAACTTTCCCCAGCAAGGCAGTAGCACCCTCTGGAGCCACGAAAAAAAACAAAACAATGGCATAGCACCAAAAATAAATGAACAAGTTGAACACCCTGGAAAAAACATGAGGCACATATCGAATCTATCAATATGTATGATTTTTTTGGGGGGGGCTATGTAACCATTCCTGTGGCACAAGAAAATCATCCATATGACTTATATATGACTTCACGATACATGGAGCGTAGAGTGGGACTGAAGTGCCTGCAGCGTACTTTGGAAGTTTGCCCATCTACATCCATTTGCAAATCTAGAAAAATCGTATTTGTCGTTATATTTCTCTCTCTCTCTCTATGTGTGTATGCGTGTTATGTATATGTATATATTTAAAGTGTATACAGTGGAACTTTTCCCAATGAAACCAGAAAACAGCCTAGCAAAACGGCCACGCAAATCCCAGGCACTGTGAACATGGGAAACATTGCGACGGCCCCGCGGCGGTCTGGACGCCGTTTGGCGTCGCCCCGATGGAGCCAAGGCTGCAGCGGGTGTTCACATGAGGGAATCGTAGAATCGTAGATTTTGTTCATGGTCATACTTATTTAAAGAGACATTGAGGTGGACTTAGATATTGTGCATACATTACCAATACCATTGAGTAAATTGGCATTTATTACAATATATATATATATATTATAGCATGTTTTATCATAGATTGCAGTATAAACAATTGTGGAGTGTAGTAGAGGCCCCCAACAATGAGAAAAGCCCAAGCCCCGTATCTCCCGAAGAAAAACTGTTCCCCTGGCCACATGTCAAGCTTCTTGATTCGTTCATGTTCTTCGCTTGGAAGGTGACCTCAACAGGGAGGTACGCGTGATGGTGCTTGAGAAAACCCAAACATCTTTGCCAAAGCCAGATCAATCTCAAGCTTTGCTTGGATACATTGGAAGATATTGGAAGTGTTGCTACTAGTTGGTGGTTGACCTACCCCTCTGAAAAAAATATCATAGTGTCAGTTGGGATGATGACATTCCCAAGATATGGAAAAATAAAAAATAATAAACATGTTCCAAACCAACCAGGCTACATTTTTTCTTGGGCAAATCATTATTTTTTGAAGGGGCCAAGTCGTTGACTTCTTTTGATCCTCTACGATATCAATCCACGTGGCTGCTGAAAAAAATCACTGAGATGGGACTCCGCGCTGTCCGCATTTGGACATGCCAATAGACCACTTGGGGGTGCACTTAGGGCTTAGGGGTTATAATGTGTTACAATTAAAAGTAACCAGCCCTCATAGGTAGGGATATAACCCCTTTAAGAAAGTGATGTTTGCTCTAAAATAACGGTTTTAAGCACCTTCTAGTCACAAAACACTGTAAATACCAGTATTTTTGGCCATTATGGAGCAAGAATCACTCTCCCATGAGGGGCCGTTCTGTTAAACAAATGGTGACCAACCATCACTGAAGCCCAAAGAAAGGCCAATGGCGCATCTGCAAGCCCACATACCAACCATCCACACCTGCAAACAGCAGCAGCCCATGCCAAAAGCCATGCAATCCATGTCAATGGTCTTCTCACTGGCAGGTGTCCTTTGCGGGGGCGTTTCAGCTTTGCTGGAGGTGATACATGGAGTACTTGGTAGCTGACCTCAGGTAGTAGGTGGATTATATACAGTACATATATATATATATATATTTATATATTTAATCAAATAAATAATTAAATGTATCTGGGCAAATTACAATAATTCACTAACCTAAAATAAGGCCGGTTTGAGTTGATTCCCCTTACTAATCATGATTCCAGTGAGGTCGCAGTGAGGTCGTTTATATATGTATATCTATCCCAAGTTGTCACCAGGATAAGTTGGACTCGTTCACTTATCTGCGCCGGGGTGAGCTACCAAGTGACTCAAGTGACCAAGTTTTTGCAAAAAAAAAAAGTAATAGTTCTGGTAAGATTCTGTGGGACTTTATCGGAGAAAAAAACAGAAACTGGGGATATGAAGCGCTACTGACCATGGATGGATTGGTACACGGATCTAATCTAGCATCTGAGTCTAGTGCTGAGAAACAATCTTTGGCAGCCTGGCTGTCAATAGTGATACCCTCTGGTTATTTAACATAGCTATTGAAAATGGTCCATTTATAGTGAGTTTACCTATTAAAAAGGGTGATTTTCCATAGGTATGTTAAATAACCAGAGGGTAATTGATAATTACCAACACATATCCTTCATGGAATTTGTCGCTCGATATTCCAAGGATCTGGGTAAGATCTTAAAAATGTGTATTCCTTCAGCGGCAGCTATCTTCCAGAAACTGATAGTGACATATCCACAAGTACCGTTTCTTGGTACTCAAACATGGCTTGCCAAAGACTTCCTTGAGCATCGTGAGCACCTCACCATGTCACTTCGGTTCTTGAGAACTCCGGGGTCATTGGTGCCGTGGAACATATCACCATTTTAAACCGGTGAAAATCCACCATTTAGTGCGATGATTTTCCCATGATTTTCCCAGCATTTCCCACCGAGGACGGCGGCTACGCCGCAGCCCGCCCTGGCGCCTCTGGTCTCGAAAGAGGGGCACCTGAATCGCCACTGGAGCCCCACGGCGCCGACGGATGTTGGCCGTCAGCGTGCCGAAGCCTTTGGCCATGGGAATCTTTTTGGTGGGGGAATCATGGAATATATCTTTGGATGTATGTGCAATTATGATATATATATATAGAGAGAGAGAGTGAGAGAGATCGGTTGAATTAGATTGCATTAGACTAGACTAGACTAGATTAAGATAAGATAAATAAGATCAGATCAGAAAAGATCAGATAAAATTAAGATTAGATTAAGATGTGATAAGATAAAATAAGATAATGAGATAATAAGATGTGATTAAAAAACTAAGATCAAATGAGATAAATTAACAGAACATAAGATAACATAAAAATAAGATAAGATAGATATCATGTCATATCTCATCAAATATTGGAAAACTAGCACTCCAAACAAAGATGGTCGATTTTATTAACGCAATCTATCAATTGACAAAGACCGACATGCTCTCCAACCAACCTATTTTAGGAGGTGGCATTTGCAATTGAAAATGGAAAACTCAAGAACACAAAATGGACCCCCAAACAAAGAAGTTGGAACACACATTTCAAAAAGATCCCGAAAGCCACATTGCCATTTTACCGGTTCCCAATCATCGATCTACCCCTTCTGTTTTGCATGCTTTTATACCCTTTTCTGTCATAGTTCTGGTCAAAAAGAACGATGCAATGGACATACCACAGTTACGGCCCTTTACCAGTTATGAGTACTTATGACCCCATGTATAGAATGTATAATCCCATAGAAATAACCAGTTAAAACATGTTAAAACTAATAAATGGCCATAACTATCAGTCCCCACGTCCCATGTTCGGGCCCCGTGTCCCAGCGGCGTGGGTGCGGGTTGATGCAGGCATCGGGCACCAGCTGTGACTGTGAGGCTTCACCACCCACGGCGGCTCCAGGTGATGTGAAGGTCCCAACGCCCATCAGAGGAAAAGCGACTAAAGTTGGAGCCGCCTAAGCCATGGAAACTGCATTCTGGGAGGCTTTTTTTTTGGGTTTGATTCTCATAAAACAAATCTAAGTTTGCATTTTTCATGGCTAACTGTTTATTGTGTTTTTGGTGAGCAACTTATTTGTGCTTTGTATTTCAATGCATCTCAATGATATGACATAATTTCATGGGTGGCTTCTGCAGTAGTTGGGGTTATTAATCAATGAAAGGGGGTGGTAAGTGTGGCAGGGCGGATCTTGATAGATGGGTTGTCGCAATCATGTTGATAGGTGGGGCCACTCTGAGCATCAGCCACGGCTCCCCTTCAAAACTGCGGGACGACACTCTGCCCTGGGTTTCCCTGTCAAATTTCAACCTTCAATCAAATAATTCAGATATCCCAAAACACCCAAAAAAACTTTGAAAAACAAAGCACACACAGCCCGATGGAAAGGGGCTGATCTTCGAAACCCAAGTAGTTTTCATCACAATTCAGAATATTTGAATCACATATCCAAGAAATCCTGGCTTGACAATGGCTAGAGATAAACTCAACGAGAACAAGAACTCATCAAACCTCAAGATGAAAACTCTCCAAAACAATGCATGAACTGTCGCAACTCACCTAACCAACCTTTAAGTTCTAGCCATCATGGGGATCATCGACCGCCAGGAGTTCCCCCCAGTGGTGTCCTCATCCGGAGCCAAGGCAGAAAGAAGTCGTCCCCTTCGCAGTCGCATGTTCTGTTCCACTTGGCAAAGGCTTGATGCCTCGACGGAAAAATGATCTCCGGGCACGGAAAAATGCTACACTTCAACCCAAAAGGTTTTTTTAAATGTTTCACAACCACAAATAAAGAGGTGACGAAACATGGAAATTATGGTTGATAACCGATAAATAAATTACTTTACTTCGTGTGATCCCCACCATGACATTTATACATTTTTCTTACTGGCAAATCTTCTGGCATTCTATCTGACATATCTTCTGACATTCTATTTGACATTCTATTTGACATTCTATCTGGCATATCTTCTGGCATATGATCTGGCATATCTTCTGGCATATCTTCTGGCATTCTATCTGGCAAATCTTCTGGCATTCTATCTGGCATATCTTCTGGCATTCTATCTGACATATCTTCTGGCATTCTATCTGGCATATCTTCTGGCATATATTCTGACATATCTTCTGGCATTCTATCTGGCATATCTTCTGGCATATCTTCTGGCATATCTTCTGGCATATCTTCTGGCATATCTTCTGGCATATTTCTGGCATATCTATCTGGCATATCTTCTGGCATATTTTCTGGCATATTCTTCTGGCATTCTATCTGGCATATCTATCTGGCATTCTATCTGGCATATCTTGGCATTCTATCTGGCTATCTGGCTATCTTCTGGCATATCTTCTGGCATATCTTCTGACATTCTTTCTGACATTCTTTCTAACTTTCTTCTGCACATTCTTTGTCCCATATCTTCCTACATGAGGTCCGGCAGGGAACACTTGGCGTGGATACTCGCGGTTGAGGTCCGGCAGGGAACACTGGGCGCGGTTGAGGTCCGGCAGGGAACACTTGGCATGGATACTCGCAGATGAGGTCCGGCAGGGAACACTGGGCGTGGCTGGTCGTGGTTGAGGTCCGGCAGGGAACACTGGGCGTGGCTGGTCGTGGTTGAGGTCCGGCAGGGAACACTGGGCGTGGATGGTCGTGGTTGAGGTCCGGCAGAGAACACTGTGGATCGCGGGTCGCAGTTGGACGAGGACGACGAGGACGACGAGGACGACGAGGACGACGAGGACGACAAGGACGACAAGGATGACAAGGAGGACGAGGAGGACGAGGAGGAGAGGAGGAGGAGGAGAGGAGGACGAGGCAGGAGGAGGAGGCAACTGACATAAAATCTAACAACCCTCACCTGGCAGGTGGGGAACAAATAAATACACATATATATATATATTATATATAATTCAATGTCCTTAGCAAACTTGCTGATCTGTTTGGTGGATCCTGGAGATCCAAAACAAGAAATATATAAGGTCTACATAATCCATTAGATGATGCGTCAGCCATCGATGCTGATGTACTTTGCCCATTGCACCATTTTGTCCAGACTATGGTCCAATAGGTAGTGCAAAATGACCACTTGCCATCAAAATAGCTATTGAAAATGGCCCATTTGCAGTGGATGGATTTACCACTTGAAAATGATGATTTTCCATAGCTATGTTAGTTTACCGGAGGGTAACTAACATACCGGGTGAGAATCTCCTTTGACAGTACTATCTCGTAAGGTTACGTGCGAATGAACCGTCCGTGGCAGCGAAGCCAGCAGCGCCAGCAGCAAGGTCTTACGGGGTAATTTTGGCCCATGTCATCTCCACTTAAAACAATCCGCCTCCAGCCACCCCCGGGTCGGAACGTTCCATGTATTGGAATTTATACTTATAAGGTCATTTTGGGGATGTTGAATCATAAGATGCATGATATGCATGTAATATTGACTCATATGACTATGATGAATATGAATACAGTATATATCTGATCCAAAATGAAATCTGCCGTCTCGTCCAAGCCGCATATCCATCGTATGGAAGCTTTGGCGTACCCTCCAACATCCAACTGCCGTACTCCTGGTGCCAGGCGCAACCCAGGCCTTCTGCAGCGTTCTCCTGGCCCCGCCCCGGTGCTGTAAGATCTGGTGGTGCTTTCACCAATATGGTGACTTAGCCAACACAAATGGTGCTATAAATTGAGCTATATTAAATATATATGTATACATATTATATCTTATGTACATGGGGATATACATGGATAGTAATGGATAAACAGCCATTTTTGGGTTGATAAAGATGTGCTTCCCAGTTAATGGTTTATAACCCAGTTTCTAACCCACATATAGCTGGGGAGTAGTATGATATAATATAGTTATCACCCATTGCACCTCCAATCTCAAAACTGGGATCCCCCAAACCACTGTTTTTCAGCACTTACATGGTCTTATTTTGCAGGGACAACACCATTTTAAGAAACCTTCATTTGGCAAGCAACCATAGGCTTGATGGTGAAACAAACTATATGCTACATGGCCATGGGCCATGTTACTTGATGGTGGGGACAAATCAACTCAGCATAGGTTTTCTGTTAGATACTAAGACCAGCGGCATTTCAGGTACCAATCATTGACTTGCTGTCGGGTCAAGTGGCGCAGCAAAGGAGCCAAGAAAAATAGCAAAACAGGGGCCCTGACCCATTCAGCCTGGTCGAGTTTGGCACGGGAATCGTCAAAAGAGACATGAACTTGGCCAAGAAGGATGATATCCTCCGATAATTTAAGCTTGTCTGCGGAAAGTCACCATTTTCAACCGGATGACATTTCCATCAAAAAAAAATGTTTCTCCGCTAGCAGTTTTCTTTGCCTGCGGGTGAAGAATGTATAGCCGTTTGATACTCTGGTAAACTAACATAACTATGGAAAATCACAATTTTCAATGGGTAAATCCACTATAAATGGCCCGAGGGTACCTTCACATCTGGGATTCCCCCAAGGCACCAAAGACTGTGGCTCTGTCCTGTTCTTGTTTCCGCAGCCTTTCCATCACCTGAGGTGGAGCTGCTGACGACAGTTCACAATGTTGACGACTCCACCCATCCGGCTGTGATTCATGAGGTTAACCTCACTGTGACCGAGCCCTGGAATCATGGTTAGTAAGGGGAATGATCCGCAAATGGCCTGATTTATTGTGGCTGGTGAACTATTGTAATTTACCAATATACATAAATATACCTAAATACACCTAAATGCACCTAAAAATACCTAAGTATACATGTATGTAGGTATGCATGCATGCATGTATAAATGTATGTAATGTAATGTATGTAATGTATGTAACGTATGTAATGTATGTAATTTATGTAATTTATGTCATGTGATATATATATATATATATGTATGTATGCATGCATGCATGTATGTCTGTGTATGTATGTATGTATGCATGTATGTATGTATGTATGTAAATGTAAATGTAAATGTAAATGTAAATGCAAATGTAAATGTACATGTATATGTACATGTAAATATATGCAAATGTAAATGTAAATGTACATGTAAATGTAAATGTATGTAAATGTAAATGTAAATGTAAATGTATGTAAATGTGTGTATATGTATGTATATGTATGTGAATGTATGTAAATGTATGTAAATGTAGGTAAATGTATGTAAATGTATGTAAATGTCTGTATATGTATGTAAATATATGTATATGTATCTATGTATAGCTTTTTTTTACCACTATATAGCATTATATCGCATTATATGGCACACAGTAAGAGATACACACGCGCACACACATATCATATGTATATATATATATATATACAAATGCTTCAAACTACTTTCTGATGTGGTCATCATTTAATTTCCAAGCACCAAACCGTCTGAGTCTCCGGACCTCTGGGCCCCTCAAACTCAACCGAACCTGGCGCGGCAGGCTGGGGATCTTGGGATCTGCTCATGGTATGGTGGTTTCAACCCTACCCCTCTGAAAAATGATGGAGTTAAAGTCAGTTGGGATGATGGTATATTCCCAATATATGGAAAAATAACAAATGTTCCAAACCACCAACCAGTATGTATATATATATATGTGTGTGTACGGTATTGCAGTATTGCATATAAAGAGATGTATGATGATGATGTATGAAGATTTGTGTGTATGTGATTTTGGCTCAAGAATATGATGTGGTTGATCATGATTTCCCCTACAGAATTGCAGCTTTGGGGGGCCTTCACCATGTTTGGACGCCTTCCGCGGCCCTGCTGCCAAGACGCGCTCTTGTTGCTTGAATCAAGTTTCAAAAGGGAATATTCCTCAGAAAAAAAACTGGAGAGAAATGAAGAAAGTTACCACCAGTTGGTCGCCAACCCTTGGACGGCTGGAAGACTGTCTGGGAATATGTCTGGACACTTTGGTAGCATTTGCAATATAGGTTGGTGAGCCCCAGACCTTAATTTTGAAAAACAAAATTAGGGCGCACCGGCACCAGCAGCATTTTCTATCACCGGGATTTTAGTGTTTTACCCATCAACATTTCCACAAAAATCTTAAGCGCTCCGTTTGGATCGTTCCAGGCTCCAACTCGTCACCGTAGAAGAAGGGGTCGTTCTCAAGATGCTGCATTCGACGATAGGTCGCAAGGAACTGGAGGACACCTTGCCAGCTGGATCCCGATGATCGGACGGTGATTTCACCGAGAATGGCTCGGCTGAAAACAAGGGCATTTTACATGGCTGACATAGCAATTAAAACGGGTGATTTTCCATGTTAAATTCTCAAATCGCTGTGGTGAAACATGTCCAGGCATTGGGCTGAAAGCCTGGGTGTTTTTTGATTATAGTGAGACTCCAAGAGAAGGTGCTATAAGAAATGATAGGTGCGGACCACTTCGAAGTCCCAAAATGAGAAGAGTCATCCAGAGATATCCAGAGATAACCTACTATTATTTGCCAACGGTGTCATTGCCAAGTCTGCGTTGGTGGATCTAATGTGAGTAGTCTCGCATGCCACTTGGTATCCCAATGCGGTCTGTCCTTGACCATCTGCCAGGTCCGCACCCCAGGGCCCCATGCCATGAGCCATGCTTCCAAGGTGCCGTGGCGACGAATGTAGCTGCAGTGTTCCAACATATCATCCCAATGCAGGGGAGTGCCGACCTTCAGCAGGCCCATGGTGTGGATCCAGCGGCGGCAGGGAACAGTCGTTCCTGAACCAATATGGCTGCGGGCCATCCCGGGCGGAGGACGTTCGAAACTCTTGGAATGTTTCAACGGATCCCAATGGGGGGATTGAGCTAGGTAGCCCGCCCCAGAAACCAGGCACAAAGCAGGGTTGTTGTCCAGCACACACAAAAAAAAACAGCAGCACGAAGGAACAATCTCCGGCATTCACCCCAAAACAATCTCTTCAATTTAATATGTACTTTTTTGGGGACCTGGAATCTTACAAACAAAAACACAACCAAACCACGGAAGTGGATGAGATTGGTGCATCATCTGACAACGGCTGCATGTTGACTGATCTTTGGTCCATCTTCGTCTGAGCTGGCTAGGCACTTAATGATCCATCTAGACCTCCTACCCAGGAAAAACATCATATATTCAATCTAACCCCCGGCAATTCTAATACCATTGTAAAGAGGAACCATATCGGTATGAATATTGCAAATGAACCATTTACCGATATGGAAATTCTTTACCAAAAGGAACCATTTCCCAAAGCAAATGGTAAATTGCCACAATGTGAGGCACCCCAGTTATAAGTTGGTTTATGAGCCCCAGCAACTATAGTTATAAGTACCATAAACCCATAGTTATTGGAGTTATAAACCAACTTAGCTATCTTGGGGGCCTCACATTGCTAGAGAAACGATCCAAGTTCACATGTGAACCATGGCGATGAGCAATGACCTTTCAAAGGTCAAGAACCAAATGGCCATTCTACACTCTCCACAAAGTTTCATATCCAAAGGAAACTCATCTCCCCAAACAATAAAACAAGCGTCCTCCTTCATGTTTCTATGTTTTAACCTGCAGTACAGTAATTATTCTGTTTAGGTGGGTTGAACTTATGTTTAGTCTCAGAACCATTGTAACATCTATTGAACAAATCCCATATTGAGCATTAATTAATGTAATTTATCAACATGTCTAACCAACAACCATGAACAAAACCGTGTTAAGTGCTATAATTTCTTCCAAAAGTTCTATGTCCCGGATGCTCCATGTATGGAGTGCTTGCCAATATAATATCTTTGGGTAGATGTAAGCCACCCGTAAATGCATGCAACAAATGGTTTATCATATATCAGACATAGAGCATATGGTATTTTTTTGTGGAAACCCATAGAAATCAGCAAAAAAAAACTGGGAAACCCATAGAAACCCATAGAAATCAGCTCAGGTCTGTGGCTCCGCGCCAGACTCTCGGCTTCTCCCGTCTTCGCTTTTTACGAGGCTCGGACACCGTGACTCCTGGCGCTTATGCCGAAGACTAGGGGGTTCCCCATAACACTTGACAAATGTCCAGATGGTTCCTCTATAACAGCGAAGATTCCACAGTTGGTTCCTCTATAACATCCCGTCGCTTGACAAATCTGGAAAAAAACCTTTGATTGCGGAACCAACTGTGGAATTAGGTACTGTGAGTTTGTCTGGAATCCTTTCACAAAAATCAAAAAGCATGTCGCTAATTTTGGCTTGCTAGGGGATACCCTCCTTGGAATCTACTAACATGGTAATGGGAATCCATCATTTTTGGATGATTTCACAAATTTCCATGGATTCCCATAAATTTCCAGTCGCCAGTGGTTTACCGGCCATTCCATCATATCCAAATCATACAAGTTTGCCCTATCACGGAAAGCTTGAAACTTGAGGATGTTCCAAATCTGATTCAGCACCCATGGTGTTCATGCAGGTTCATCACCTGTGGGAAAATCCACATGTTTGGCTGACTGCAGAAGGTTCATTCCCCCTAGCTTGGAATCAAACTAATGATTGAAAACCATCTCCATCTTTTTGTCCTTTTTCATGGAATATGGAAGGGTTTGTGAGATGAACCCCGGGATTGGGAAAACTGCCATGGTTTCAGGTTCCGCAAATGAGGTACCCTTAAGCAAAGGATCACCATATGTACTGGCAGTCAAAGAAATTAAACGTGCTTCTCCAGACCTCAAAGACTTCAAATGATTTGACAGCATCAGGTAAGTTGCTGTTTCTCTGGGCACGGCGTGCTTGCTGCGATGTCGCTAAATGTTCCTTTGCTCGCTATGTATGTTACAGCATTCCTCACGCAACAATTGCCTCTTCAACCTCCACTATCCCTGCCATTCACATCCATTCATTATATCATATATCCACCATGAACGCTATAATCAAGTTGTAGGCAGTTGTGAATTAGACCAACTTAGCATAAATTCACTAATATGATGCACATTGATACACATCCAAGTTGCAGCTAGCAGGGTTTTTGCATGGCTTTACATGGTTTTACTCAATTTTTAGCATCACTTAGCTAAGTATGATTCAATGATGCACCTACAAGTAGCATTTACCCTCATGGAGATCCCCGAAAATGGCGGTACCCCTAAATCATCCATTTTAATACTCGTTGATAGGATTTTCCATCATAAACCAACCATTTTGGGGTACCACCCATTTTAGGAAACTTCCATATAGAGGGATATGCTCATTAATGGAATATAATACATATATATATATATATGACCATTTGCCAAAAATAGTTGACAGAAGTTTTGTACTAGTTGTTGATAATTAGTGTGGACCTAGTTGTTTTTCCCCTTCGATATGAGGCGGCACGCAACTAAATTCACCAATTCTGCAAGGCAGCGCTAGCAAACCCGCTAGGTTTGCGCTAGTTTTTTTTGTTCACACCCATGTTCAAGGTTTTTTTTTGTGTTCCTGTCTGCTTGTTATTTCAACATGAAGAAAAGTCAAGATGTAACACTTAGCTCCTTAAACCTAAGGATGTCTTAATGATGTCTTAGTGAATTTCTGTGCTACTCAACAATTTTCCGACATTTTTGAGGTTGCGGCTCAACTTTGCGAATTTGTACGCGATTTTACCCGCTAGATTCCCGCTAGCAATGCGCTAGCAAAAGTTTCAAAAAACGGCTTTGGTTGACCCGTGACCAGGTCGCCACCAGAGAACTTGTAGTTTACCTTCTCTGTTTGACAATGCAACAGTGACAGCAAAGGCAGCGACCAGCTCTGCAGATATTCCAGTTCCACCACTAACAACTAGCAGCGGCATCCACTTCATATAGACGCGCGTTAGCATTTACTGCAGGTTTTAGCTACGGTGCTACGGCTTCAAACATGAAAGATAAAAGGCCGGGTTTCAGACTATTTAAAATTTAGGTCAGTCATGGTTTTAAAGGCACAATAAGAAGCGGCACGCAAGGAATTACGATTTATCAACAAAACCAGGAAAAGACATTTTGGCAAACCGTCATATATATATATATATATCTAGATAGATCATCTCATGAATATCGATGTCATGTATTTGGAATGGACATGTTCCATATCCCATTGAAATCCGAAAAAATGATTCCCTCTAAGTAGCGTTTAAAATGCATCAACAAATATAAAAATCATATTCATTGGATTGGTTTTCTTGGGAACATCTTCACCGGAAACCATCGATTTTCCCATGAAATATGAAGCGTTTTCCTGCAAACTTTCCCTGAAGTCCATCCAATGACATACCCCCTTGGTAAACTGTCACTAATAACGAACTGGAAAACCACCATATTATTCGTGGGTAAATCCACTATTTCTATGGCCATTTTCAATAGCTTTTTGATGCTTTTTGTATGTTTACCAGAGGGTATATGTTTCCCAAGCACCACCCCCATTTCACCCGTGACGTCCCTCGTCACCTTCTCGCAGCAGCTCACAAGCGCGATTCAGCACCAGCTGCAAGGCACGGCTTTGGCGCCTCGTACGAGGTGCCTTTAAATAGAATGGAGTATAAAGTGATGAGGGTAGATGTGCATGTATAATATAAATGTACGATATATACATATCATATACATATACTATATAGTATATACATATCATATACATATACTATATAGTGATACAACATATGATATTATCCCAATAATGGACTATAATATACATAGCATCATATAATATAATATAGTTGGGATAGATCCTAGGTATGAGTTTGGGATATATATATTATATTATATATATATAGGTACATATACACACTATAACACTATAATGGTGATGTGCGGTATATGCAGGTACATGTAATGGGTATGATTTTGGGTGTGATTGAACATAGAGCATGCACAGAAGAAAAGACAATGAATCATGTTGAAAACCATTGTCAAACATCAAGTTTGCTACAACACATTACAATACCTTATTTCCAGAGAATAAAACACCCTTGCAGTCCCTATTGAGATACTCACAGTTCTTTGACATAGTCACTGCTATTTATATAATGAGTCTTTGCGATTTCATCTTTCAAATGAAGCAATGAAAAATACCAATCTTATAGTCCCTTTTAGGCCGGCAAATTCCAATATCTCTCTTAGACTTGACTGAACATAGAATACATAATACCCCATTTTATCATGATTGTTTACTTTAAACAACGTCATTTTCCCTATGACGAGTTGCAATTGGTTGGCTGGCAATATGGCTAAGTAGCTTTTTGTTTTTCCCATTGTTCATAGAATCTTGAGAATACACGGCAATATATGGGTTTCTCTGAAAACTGAATGCCGCCAAATTAAAAAACCCCTTATCACTGATCATCATGTTCCCAATTCCACCGAAAACTGACCATGAATTTTGGTGCGAAAAACGCATGGTTTTTCGCCATGGTATAGCCATGACCCATGTTCAAACTTTCTGCCATGTGGATACAACGCGATCCAAGCGATCCAAGTGGGCCGTTCTCACCTGCAAAGGGTGGTGCTCATCTTCCGGAGGGAACTGAGAAAGGCGTCAGGCCACGGATGCCTCGGCGATTTGACAAAGGGTTGGTGCACTGCAGCAAAAACTGCAGGAAAAGCGGAATGGGTCTGGTGGTTAAAGGGTTATTTTGGAATATTTTGGATACTTTTACCTTGTAGTGGTTCAACGGCCTTGTACTGGTTGTGGAGCCTGGGAGGGTTATGATGGAAAGCATGGTTTCTACCTGTGTCAAGCTGAGCTTGGTGATTCTTGCTGCAGGAAAGGCTGAGCAC